CGCAAAGAATTTTCTTTGCGGCTTTTATTGCCGCGGCATATGCCCTTAAAAAGGACACAAACCGTGCTCGATTTGACTCGCTTGGGTCCGAACGCCACACGCTCTCTAGTTCCCTCTTCCTTCGCTTCATCACTGCCAGCTCCTCAGTAAACCAAGGAGCTGGTTTAGCTCGGCTACTTGAGAGGGGACGTTCCGGAGCGATCACGTCAATTGCCCTGGCCATCTCCCCATTCCAGAGAGCGACCAAGGCCTCGACATGGTCACCTACCGAGGAGGCGGGAAAATCCCCAAGAGCCGTCAGGAATCCATTCGGATCCATAAGCCTCCTGGGGCGGACCATCTTAATGGGTCCTCCACCTTTGCGGAGGTTAGGGGGTGCAGTGAGCCTAAATCTGATCAGGAAGTGGTCAGTCCATGGCAACGGAGAGATAGACAACTCCTCCACACCGCCACCCTGCTCCCATCCCTGGCAGAAAACCAAGTCCAATGTGTGTCCAGCACAATGGGTGGGGCCAGATATTTGTTGGGACAGCCCCATGGTTGCCATGGCCAACATGAAGTCCTGAGCCGCTCCAGTGAGGGTCGCCTCGGTGTGGATATTGAAGTCTCCCAGCACAAGAAGCCGTGAAGACTCCAACGCCAGGCTCGAGACCACCCCCGCTAGCTCAGGTAGGGAGACTGTAGTGCAGCGAGGTGGACGGTACACTAGCAGAATCCCTATTCTGTCCCGGTCACCCACCCTCAGGTGGACGCATTCAAAATTTGTTGACTGCGGGATGGGGCCCCTGGTCAGAGGGATGGAATCTCTATAGACCACTGCAACCCCACCTCCCCGCCCTCCGGATCTCGGCTGGTGCTGCACGGAAAAACCTGGCGGGCAGAGTCCACAAACTTTCTAAACAGAGGGCCAGGTCAGAGTCTCTCAAACTGTTGGAGGGCCGGATTATAATTTGAAAAAAATAAATGAAGGAATTCCTATGCACACTGCACATACCTTATTTGTAGTGTAAAAAACACTTACAATACAATAATTAAAATGAGGAAAAATGTTAACAAATATAAACTTATTAGTATTCCAATGGGAAGTGTGGGCTTCCTTTTAGCTGATGAGATAGGATTGTTGTTGTTGTGTGCTTTCAAGTCGTTTCAGACTTAGGTTGACTAGCCTTTGCCCTCCGAGATCTGGCCAGATAAGAACTATTAATTTTTTTGTCCATGCAATGAGTTTCTGGTTGAGTCCTTTGTTTAGGGATTTACTGGCTCAGAGAATTGGGAAACGCTTCCTGGAACCATGAGGTGCTGGATTCATGAAAAGGGTGGCTTTCTCTTCATTTTTCACAATATAGATATACTCACATATGATGGTATGGGGAAGGGGAACATACAAGAAATTCATAAGGGATAAATCTTGCAAAGTCAAGGGCGAACCATGTCAGCTCTTTCCTCCCTCCCAAGTCCATCAAAAGTTCATAAAGGTTGGCAAGAGTCCTATAAAGTTCCTATAAAGTTCATGGAAAGTCCATAAGAGTTGGGCCATGGGGCCATGGAAAAAGCCTTAGGTTCCCACATGGGGGAGAGATAGGGGATTATTTATTTATTTATTTGTTTATTTATTTACCTTACTTCTATACCGCTGTTCTCAGCCCGAAGGCGACTCACAGCGGTTCACAACAAATACGAACAGCAAAAATTCAGTGCTACAGTATAGAAACAGTTAACAACCTAACACATTACACAATTAATAAACAGTCACTACAATAGCCATTCACTGTCGTCTCATCATTCAAAAACATGTTCCAGATTATGGGATCATTCCAGCCTGGTGTCCTTGGCAAAACTATGAATTCCCTGATTTTGAACTATCTTTTACAGAGTCCTGAGTGGTGAGGTCACCTGTGATCTCATCAATCTATACATATGCTTTTCATATATATATATATGTGTGTGTTTAAATAAAAGATTGATAAATAATGCATATATCCTGTGCATGTGTGTGTGTGTGATTGTATGTATATGTGTGTGTGTATGTACGTACGTATGTATGTGTATATATATATATATGTGTATATATGTGTGTGTGTTTAAATAAAATATTGATAAATAATACATATATCCTGTGCATGTGTGTGTGTGATTGTATGTATATGTATGTATGTGTGTATATATATGTATGTATGTATATATATTGAAGTGACTGGACTGACCTTGAGGGAGCTGGGGGTGGTAACAGCTGACAGGGAGCTCTGGCGTGGGCTGGTCCATGAGGTCACGAAGAGTCGGAGACGACTGAACGAATGAACAACAACAACATGTATATATATATATGTATATATATATATGTGTGTTTAAATAAAAGATTGATAAATAATACATATATCCTGTGCATGTGTGTGTGATTGTATGTATATGTATGTGTGTATGTATGTATGTGTGCGTATATATATATATATATATATGTATATATATGTGTGTGTGTTTAAATAAAAGATTGATAAATAATACATATATCCTGTGCATGTGTGTGTATGTATGTAAATGTATATATGTGTATGTATGTATATATATGTGTGTGTGTGTATATATATATATGTATGTGTGTATATATATGTTTAAATAAAATTGATAAATAATACATATATCCTGTGCATGTGTGTGTATGTATGTAAATGTATATATGTGTATGTATGTATATATGTGTGTGTATATATATATGTATGTGTGTATATATATGTTTAAATAAAATTGATAAATAATACATATATCCTGTGTGTGTGTGTGTGTATGTATATGTATGTGTGTGTGTATATGTGTGTGTGTGTATGTATGTGTGTGTGTATGTGTATATGTGTGTGTTGGTTGGTTATATATATATATATATATATATATATATATATATATATATATATATTAACTGTACATATGCCAAATTAGATGAGGAGTTCTCTTTCGGGACCGACTTCAAGCCAAAGGTTTTTGAGTTCTGTTAATCCCACAAACGAACATTACATTTTTCCTACTTCCAACAGACCTCACAACCTCTGAGGATGCTTGCCATAGATGCAGGCGAAACGTCAGGAGAAAAATTGCCTCCAGAACATGGCCATATAGCCCGGAAAAACCTACAACAACCCAGTGATCCCGGCCATGAAAGCCTTCGACAATTATATAGATTGATAGATTATATCAATCTATATAATTTTGATAAATATACATCTATCCACATACAAATTTCCTATATATGTATATAGGAATTGTGTATGTAGTTATAGGCATTATTTATCAATCTTTTATTTAAAAACACACACGCACACCCATATATATATTAGAACAGCATATGTATAAATTGATTATATAAACAGCCTACAAAAACTCTAAATGTTTATTATCATTGTTGTTGTTGTTATTTAAATATTCTTCCTACGAATCTAGGCCCTCCAGCACAATTCAATGGTGAAGTTGACCCAGTGATATCGAACTGCTGGAATTGCCTTGTGCGAAAGCGACTCAACAATACATATAAAGAGACAAGGTGCATCCCATCCTAATGTACGGCAAAAGAGAAGGAAGACGCATGTGCAAAAAAGAGTCATAATAATTTATTTTTTTTATTTTCTGGATTCACATCCCGCTTTTTCTCCCCCAAAATAGGATCCAAGTTTGCAATACAATAAATAAATGCCTGGAGGTCAGAAGGTCTACGTCCACTTCTGCTATCCTTAGGAAGAATCTCTGGGCAAGAGCACTGCCTTGAAAAATGCATATGACATGTATATATGTATGTATGTATGTATTATTATTATTCAGAATATCATCCTAATGTGCATTGAAAAATGCATATGTCGTGTACATACTTTTAATTATTTTTTTAATTGAATGACATTCAAATGTGAATTGAAAAAATCCATAGGCGTTTACATATTTTTATTATGGATGGCATCCAAATGTGTATTGAAAAATGCAAATTACATGTATGTATCTTGTTATTATTTCTAACCTGAATGGCATCCATATGGGCATTGAAAATGCATATGGTGTGTATGAACATTATTATTATTATTAAATAGCATCCAAATGTGTATCAGAAAATGCAAAGGTTGTGTATGTATTTTTAGTATTATTATTATTATTATTATTATTATTATTATTATTATTATTCGGAACGACATCCAAATGTGCATTGGAAAATGCATATGTTGTATATGTACTTTAAATTGGGTTGTTGTGGGTTTTTCCGGGCTATATGGCCATGTTCTAGAGGCATTCTCTCCTGACGTTTCGCCTGCATCTATGGCAAGCATCCTCAGAGGGAGTGAGGTCTATTGGAACTAGGAAAAGGGGTTTATATATCTGTGGAAAGACCAGGGTGGGACAAAGGACCCTTGTCTGTTTGAGTTAGGTGTGAATGTTTCAACTGACCACCGATTAGCATTTGATGGCCTGACAGTGCCTGGAGCAAACTTTTGTTGAGAGGTGATTAGACATTTTAAAAAAAACTCTAAAATTACAACAGCACAACAACAGAGAGGAAACAAATAAGGACATCTAATCACCTCTCAACAAAAGTTTGCTCCAGGCACTGCCAGGCCATCAAATGCTAATCAAGGTGGTCAGTTGAAACATTCACACCTAGCTCCAGCAGACAGGGGTCCTTTGTCCCACCCTGGTCATTCCACAGATATATAAACCCTTTTCCCTAATGCCAACAGACCTCACTACCTCTGCGGATGCTTGCCATAGATGGAGGCGAAACGTCAGGAGAGAATGCCTCTAGAACATGGCCATATAGCCCGAAAAAACCTACAACAACCCAGTGATTCTGGCCATGAAAGCCTTCGATAATACATTGTACTTTAAATTATTATTTTTTAAAATTGAATGTGAACTGAAAAATCCATAAGCATTTGCATATTTGCATATTTATTATTATTATTATTATTATTATTATTATTATTTTCAGTGTGGTTGGCATCCAAACGTGCATTGAAAATGCAAATTATATGTATGTATCCTATTAGTTCTAACTTGAATGGCATCCAAATGTGCATTGAAAATGCATATAGTGTGTATGAACTTTATTGTTATTATGAGTGTAAATAGCATCCAAATGTGTATCAGAAAATGCTTTATTATTATTATTTTCAGTGTGGTTGGCATCCAAATGTGCATTGAAAATGCATATGGTGTGTATGTGCTTTATTATTATTATTAGTGTAAATAGCATCCAAATGTGTATCAGAAAATGCTTTATTATTATTATTTTCAGTGTGGTTGGCATCCAAATGTGCATTGAAAATGCAAATGATATGTATGTATCTCGTCATTATTTCTAACCTGAATGGCATCCAAATGTGCATTGAAAATGCATATGGTGTGTATGAACTTTATTGTTATTATTATTAGTGTAAATAGCATCCGAATGTGTATCAGAAAATGCTTTATTATTATTATTTTCAATGTGGTTGGCATCCAAATGTGCATTGAAAATGCAAATTATATGTATGTATCTCGTCATTATTTCTAACCTGAATGGCATCCAAATGTGCATTGAAAATGCATATGGTGTGTATGAACTTTATTGTTATTATTATTAGTGTAAATAGCATCTGAATGTGTATCAGAAAATGCTTTATTATTATTATTTTCAGTGTGGTTGGCATCCAAATGTGCACTGAAAATGCAAATTATATGTATGTATCCTATTATTTCTAACCTGAATGGCATCCAAATGTGCATTGAAAATGCATATGGTGTGTATGAACTTTATTGTTATTATTATTAGTGTAAATAGCATCCAAATGTGTATCAGAAAATGCAAATGTCGTGTATGTTTACTTATTTGTTTGTTTGTTTGTTTGTTTACTGTATTTGTATACCGCCTTTCTCAGCCAATCGGTGACTCAATCGGTGTATGTATTTTTATCATGTGAACTGCATCCAATGGCATGTACGCATTTTTATTATTATTATTATTCTTCAATGTGAATGGCATCTCAAGGGAAGAACCTCAGGGCAAGAGCGCTGCCTTGCAAATTGCATTTATGATGATGATAACGATTTCATGTGATTCACATTCAGATGTGTCTTGCAAAGGGCATCTTGCATGTATGGGTCTTTTATCCTTATTTCCAATGGGAAGGGAAGAAGCTCGAGGCGAGAACGTTGCCTTGAAAACTGCACATAGTAAAAAGCTAAATACTTCTAGTCCGGATGGGGCAGCCCTATATGGGCATCACCCCGTTGGTCCCATTTCTGCAAGGTTTTGCAATGCAGCCTTGCTCGGCCTCTCCCCAATATTTCCGCACCCCGTATTGTGTCTCCAGTCTCCGTCAAAGTGTGGATTTGAACTCGCAGCCTCTGCGGACGGACGGTGAGAGGCGTGCTTTTCGGTGATGTTCGGTCCATAGAAAGACAGACCTTTGGGGGAAATGAGCTCAGAGGGCGATGTGGTCCTCGAAAAGGGAGAGCAGCAGCAGGATGGCCCAGCCGGACAGCAGGCCCAAGTTCTGCAGGAAAAACAGCAGCCAGGGTCGCTTGCAATGCGCATTCATCAGCGCTGGCAGCTGCAAGAGAGGGAGATATAATTAGGCATACCAAGGGGCAACCAAAGGACATCCAACCCACCCCTTCTGTCATGCAACCATCGCCCTGGATGACTCTGCCAACGGATGGTCCTCCAGCCTATGTTTAATCACAGAATCAAAAAATTGTAGTGTTGGGAGGAAACCTAGTGTTGGGAGGGAACCCCAGTCCACCTCCTTTCACCAGACTGGAAGACACAATCAAAGCCCTCCAGACATATAGCTTTTGTGCAATCATTGAATCCTATAAACGTAGTTTTGGGAGGGAACCCCAAAGGCCATCCAGTCCACCCCCTTTCGCCAGACTTGGAAGACACAATCAAAGCCGTCCCGGACATATAGCTTTTGTGCAATCATTGAATCCTATAAACGTAGTTTTGGGAGGGAGCCCCAAAGGCCATCCAGTCCACCCCCTTTCACCAGATTTGGAAGACACAATCAAAGCCCTCCCGGACATATAGCTTCTGTGCAATCATTGAATCCTATAAACGTAGTTTTGGGAGGGAACCCCAAAGTCCACCCCCTTTCACCAAACTGGAAGACACAAAAAAAGGCCCTCCCAGACATATAGCTTTTGTGTAATTATTGAATCCTATAAACGTAGTTTTGGGAGGGAACCCCAAAGGCCATCCATTCCACCCCCTTTCGCCAGGCTTGAAGACACAATCAAAGCCCTCCCAGACATATAGCTTTTGTACAATCATTGAATCCTATAAACGTAGTTTTGGGAGGGAACCCCAAAAGGCCCTCCAGTCCACCCCCTTTCGCCAGACTGGAAGACACAAACAAAGCCCTCCCAGACATGTAGCTTTTGTGCAATCATTGAATCCTATAAACTTAGTTTTGGGAGGGATCCCCAAAGGCCATCCAGTCCACCCCCTTTCGCCAAACTGGAAGACACACTCAAAGCCCTCACAGACAT